TATAGGAAATGCTGAAAAATTTAGGGATAAGAACTCATTGTGTAAGCAGTTTATTCTCAAATGCCTGAAAAATTAGCATATATAAATTTATATATATTATATATAAATTAGGTCCCAGGGCTAGGACAAAAAGAGAATCTAGAAAGATCCACTAGAAGTTAACTTCTCTTTGTATAAAATTCAAAACTGCTGCAACATCACATCAGATTGAAGAATACGCTCTCGAATCTTCACATTTCCCAGGCGTTACCTACTCATTCTCCTGAACACCTCCTGCCTCCACATGACAGCAGGCAAAGCACCGTCCTGCGCCACTTAACACTAGGAACACATTCTGGAAAACGCACTGTGAAATGACTCTGTCGCTGTGAACATCACACAGTGTGCGTGCAGAAACCCAGACACTACAGCCGACCACACACCTGAGCTAGGTGGAACAGTCCATTGTCCCCGGGCTGCAAACCATGACAGCATAGAGGCATCCTACGTACAGTGGGGAGCTGTGACACAGGGGCAAATATCTGAATATCTGAACGTATCCAGGCCAAGCAGGGTGGTTCGGGCCTGTAATGCCAGCACTGTGGGAGGCCGAGGCAGTTGATCACTCAAGGTCAGGAGTTTGAGACCAGCCTGGTCAACATGGCAAAACCCCATCTCTACTAAAAACTAGTCAGGCGTGGTGGCAGGTGCCTGTAATCCCAGCTACTCGGGAGGCTGAGGCAGGAGAATCACTTGAACCTAGGAGGCAAAGGCCACAGTGAGCCAAGATCATGCCACCGCACTCCAGCCTGAGTGACAGAGTAAGACTCCATCTCAAAAATAAAAATAGAAACATCTAAATGTAGAAAAGGTACAGTAAAAATATGGTAGTATAATCTTTTGTTCTTTCTTTCTTTCTTTCTCTTTTTTTAAAAGACCAAGGTCTTGCCCTGTTGCCCAGGCTGGAGTGCAGCAGCACAACTGCAGCTCACCACAGCCTCCACCTCTTGGGCTCAAGTGATCCTCCCGCCTCGGCCTTCCTGGCTGGGATCCCTAGCTGGGATCACAAGCACACACCACCATGCCTGGCTAATTTTTAAAGTACAGTTTTATAATTTTATGGGATTGTGGTCATATATGTGGTCTGCTGTTGACTGAAATGCCATTATGCGTCACATGACTAGCTAATGAAAGTCACAGCAAAAGCAGAGGTTTCATCAGGGAGGGGAAGAGTAATGTTCATCCCAACAGGATGGGGTACTGCTGATAGGATAAAGTCAACAGAACAGAAGCTACTATTTCTTTTTAAGGGAAACAAGATGGCAAACGAAGGGTGGGTCAAGAGACACGGCTTTCTCTTCAAGTAGAGCAGTTCTACCCTCCTCGCTCACATGACCAACATCAACCCCAAAGAGGCCAGTGGCATTTAAGGGGAGAAGAAGTAAACTTCAGGCCGGGCGCGGTGGCTCACACCTGTAATCCCAGCACTTTGGGAGGCTGAGGCGGGTGGATCACCTGAGGTCAGGAGTTTGAGACCAGACAAGCCAACATGGTAAAATCCTGTCTCTACTAAAAATACAAAAACTAGGCCGGGCACGGTGGCTCATGCCTGTAATCCCAGCACTTTGGGAGGCTGAGGAGGGCGGATCATGAGGTCAAAAGATCGAGACCATCCTGGCTAACACGGTGAAGCCCCATATTTACTAAAAATAAAAAAATTAGCTGGGTGAACTGGCGGGTGCCTGTAGTCCCAGCTACTCGGGAGGCTGAGGCAGGAAAATCACTTGAATCTGGGAGGTGCAGATCACGCCACTGTACTCCAGCCTGGGTGACAGAGTGAGACTCTGTCTCAAAAAAAAAAAAAAAAAGCAAAAATTAGCCAGGCATGGTGGTGGGCACCTGTAATCCTGGATACTCAGGAGGCTGAGGCAGGGTAATCGCTCGAACCCAGAAAACGGAGGTTGCAGTGAGCTGAGATCACGCCACTGCACTCCAGCCTGCTGACAGAGCAAGACTCCATCTCAAAAAAAAAAAAAGTACACTGCAGAGATGTTTGCTGAGAGGAGGAAGGGAATGGGGCGCCCAGGGAATGCCCACTGTGGGAGACCAGGTGACCAGGGTGCCTGGTTCTGACACAGACCCTGATTGACACCCACAGATGAATCACACCCTCCCTGAGCCTCGGTTTCTCCACCCTCAGACAGGCTTCATGTGCTGGAGGGGGAAGGGCCCCGGGCAGTCCCTGGGAGACGGGGCCCGCCCACCCTGCCGCTCTCCTTACCAACACCTGCTCGCTCGGAGGCCACGATCCCAACACACAGGCGGTCCTTGAACACGGCCGCCGCCGACAGGGTCTGCTTTGGGACCCGGTAGTGATCTGCCAGGTAGGCTTGGATGGCCTCGAGGGGTGCCTGGGGGGTGACGAAGACCTTGTGCTGGCTGAAGGCAGAGGGGAGGTAGCAGTGCTCCCAGTCCCCATCGCAGACCATGACGAGCTGGTAGTCTTCGCGGTGCTGCTGCGTACACAGTTTCTGGAACAGCTCCTCGGCTTGGCGCGCCACCTCGTAGCTCAGCTGATCTGCGAACAGCAGGCTGTAGACCTTGTGCCCCAGGGAGCCCAGGGTCAGGCAGCGGCGCAGCAGCAGTGCCACCTCCTCAAAGGTGGTTGCCGGGGTGCAGAGCAGCACCTCATCGTAGGTGGGCAGGGGCTGGCTCGGGGTTTGCATGTAGACAGCCAGGGCGGCTGGCAGCACCTCCGAGTGGCCACACACAACCAGGTTGGGCTGGCCGACCTGCAGACCTCTCGGGAGATGCCGCTCCACGGGAGACCCACCCATCCCTGCCAGGTGAGCCAGACAGCGGCCAAGGGTCTCTAGGTCGAGGCAGTCGGGCAGGAAGGCAGGAAGGCACTCCCTGGACTGCTCCATGATGACCCTTAGCTTGTCCGCCAGGCTGAACTCCGAGAAGAGCATCAGCGGGAGCTCTTCCGTGACCGTCCTCACGCGGTACCTGGCGGCCTCACTCTCGCACCCCACAGAGGCCCTTAAGACATCCATCAGGGTGCAGTTGCTTTTGATGAAGGACAGCATCGTTAGGGCGGCGTCACTGGGAGGCTGCTTCCTGAGCTCGGTGCTCAGGTAAACCAGCTGCTCTGCCGTGTAGAAGTTCAGGTAAAAGTGCTCCATCCGCTTCTGGGTCACGAATTTCTTCCAGCTGTCAAGGAAGTGCTCCATCTGCCTGCAGAGGGCTGCCAGCAGCTCAGTGACATCTCCACCCTCCACCAGCTC